ATATACTGCATGTAACAGCGATCATCAATCTAAACATGAAGCCTTTTCTTAATCAATCCTATTTATCTGCTTCACAAGCAGTGCTTTTTTTCAGATGGCAGATATTTTAAGCACAGGAAGTTATTGCTATTGTTAGRAATTTTGACAAAATAGAACTTATATTCGGTTTGTAAGCATTTTTTTTTCTACCAAAAATATCTGCTATACTGATAGTAAGATGGCAAAGTAAATCACTTTGATAGAGTAATTGAAGAAGCTAACTGAAAATCTATCCCCTCAGGCAGGTTTCCTCCCAGCTGTCGATACGGCAGACGCAGGCAGGTCACACCTCCATCCCGCCGGACACCCGCAGAACCGTCGTGCACGCACATTTGCTCACACACTATTTGCTCCTTATGCGGTCTCACTGAAATGAATGTGAACTGGGAGTTCACAGATAAAGTGCTGCACGTGCGTGTAATGCAAAGCAGCACCACAGGATTTATCAGAAAAAAAAAAAAGAAAGTTAATAAAGATTTCTTAGACAGACAGGTAAGTAACTGTATCACTCCAACTGTATTGTGGTGGCCCAGACAATATGCTATACAAATTGCAGCAGCTCTTCCCAGAATGCAGAAATAATTAGAAGTTGGGCTCTGCAAAGAGCTGCCTAAGTAAATACTGAATTGTGTGCCTGCTGTTCACGCTGCTGAGTTTTTACAGATCACAAAGGAGCAAGATTACCGGAGAGTTTATTCCGAGTAAGAGATAAAATCATTAATCTTCAAACTGCCTGCATTGTCACTGAAAATTTTTCCTAACACTTTTTYGTAAACACGTGCTCAAAGCATCACTGCTATCTAAAACAAAAATCCAAGTGGGAACATAGTTTGGATCAWGGGCTCAGTGGTCTGTTACACAGACCCGAGGAAGGGAAGGGAAAAACCCCCCAATCCTCCTCATACAGAATCTCAGAAATCCTGAAAAAAGAATTTTTCTGAGGTCATCTCTGTGATGTGAGATCAATTTAGCAGATCTGGTAGGATCACAAAAGGCAAATTATTGTCTGTTCATTTATTTCAGTGACATACCTACTAGGTTGTGGTTATGATGAGGTTACTTCAACACTGATGGCCAGCTATAAAAATTAATAAAAATTAGAAATTACTTGATGAACCTTTGATGAATGTGAAGAATTACAGGCCTGTCAGAGATTTGAAGTTTATAATATATTTTGCATAAGCCTGTAATAGATAAAAATTTGGAAAACAAAGTTCTTAACATAATAATCATAATTAACAAGATTCAAAACTAAGGTGAATTACTGTAGAGATTGATAAACATTTCCAATATTCGTAAGTTATCATTAAGATATGACTGTGCTAATAATGTATCTCCCATAAAGACAGACAAGATACAGATCCAAGTTGGGTTTGCACCTAAACTGGAACAGAAGTTACACATAAGACAYACAGACTACAATTTGACAAATTAGGAGATTAAATTGTTGTTTTGATAGCTAGAGATATAGACAGCTAGCTAACAGTAATTAGAAAAAGAACTGCTGAGCATAAGTAAGTTCATCATGTACAAACTTAAAGACACTTGATGCCATACATTAATGTAGTAAGCTGTYATTAAGCATACTTAATTAAAATATCTAAAACAACTAGCAGTAAAAGAACAGACTAGATGAGCAGATGGATTCAGATATATTTTGACCTACATTTCTCGATATTCCAACAGGATAAATAAAGGTAAATATAAACAAGAATAGAAGGAAAGCGGAGAAAAACACTCAGCTAGTAMATGTCACTATGAAGTTCCATACTAGAAAGATGGACGAATAGCAGAAACTTCTTATCTCTCTTCTTTTATGGTACCTCTTTGTCTTCTCTAAGAAATCATGTTTTGCTTTTGTTAAGCTGTTTTCCCAAAGTTTCACATAACTGCAAAGTACCTCATAAATAATTATATTACTAAGACATTTATTTTATGTGGAGCTACAATTAGGAAATCATGCCCCCAGTCACAGGAGAATTCAACCAGAATAAAGAAATCAGTAACTTACAATAAAATTCAGTCTCTAAAATGTCACTTTTATGCTCAGTCTCTCTTAAATTTCACTCCTACTACAAAGACAAAAACAAGAGAGCAGGTCTCAATCTACGAGTCCACAACAGTCAAAGGTGATCTTCTTGAGCCAACCACATCACCTTCCTAAACACAAAATAGATAACCTTATGATATTTTCCAAGTCCAAGATGTGCTTCCAAAAGCTTCAGGAACACTTGGTCAGTGACTGGATTTGCATTCTGAAAAGTTTCCATAGCTAGAACATTTGAACTACATCACAGCAAGCACTGCAGCAGTGGGGCAGCTTATTGGTCTGATGTGTGAAATGTGTACGTGTATGATAAATGTCTTGCTGGGATTTATTCCCTACATAATTTTCAGCTAAAGTAAAATTAAGCCTGGGGCTCCACTCCATAAATTGTGTTGAAACATTTCTCTCATCCATATATTCTGTTATTTATACATTTTCCTAATATAGTCCTGGTTTAGCACTGTGCAATCCCATCTAAATTTAATTAAGTCTTCTCCTGTTTCCACAGCCAAATATAATACTTACCAGCAGTACCTCCACACCTCACAGCAACACAAGACAAAACAGTGCTGTACACAACAGTGCTGGGCAAGGGGATGTCGTTTTAAAGTACTACTTCAAAGTACATGTTGACCTATTCTATACACTTACTGCACTCTGACCCTTTCCACTGAAAGTATTATGCAATATTGAGCTCCGATTCTTATTTGGTCATTACATGGAAAATCTAAATTTTGTTGTCTTCACTAAAAAGCTATCTAATCTAAACAAAAAAAAAAAAAGAAAAGAAAAGAAAAAAGAAAAATGATGACAACTGATACACACTCCTGAACATCATACTTAAATGCCTGCACTCCATCCAGGCTGATATCTTCCACTTAGTAATCTCAATTAATCTTTTCCCTTCCGTTCCTTGACCCTCTGGTCACCCTTTAGAAGTTTTCCTTAGCCCAGGCTGAGCTTGTGGTTTGAGGAACAGCTCAAGCCCAGGACTGTGGGTCCTTTCCCCTGTGCTGGCACTAGCATCTGTGCAGGCCAACAGCCGGAGCAATTGGGAGACTGAGGAGACACATTCCTTCTTCTGCTACCGTGTAAGAATCTTAAGACTACCACAACTAGCAATTTTTTTTTCCTCCCCCATCTGATGACYATTCCTACCCAGCTGCATTTGCTTACAACTCCAGTTTCTCCAGATGCCTCTGTTCCTATTCTATTGACAACATAAGTATAATTCAAAGATTAAAAACCTCAATACAATATTTTTCTCTCAATCCAGTAACAGCTGTGGCTGTGCACGCTTACACTACTTATTCATCCATTTCTCCAAGCTCCTTTATGGAAAGTCTCCATGCCTTTTCCATAAGCTTTTCAAGAAAGCCATGAAAGCTTTTAACTTTCTTTGAGCCTGAAACACTGGCTTACAGAACAGCTTCCATTTGTTTCAGCCGAACACAGTTGGAGAAATCTAGGCAAGACAGCATAATACTCTGCTGCTCACTCAATTCTGGTACTCAGTCAATATGCTCCCAATTTACAGCTCCACGAGACCTGGAGAACAGGAAAATAAAACCTGGAGGCCARAAAAATGCCATCACAAGCGAGAGACAGAAGTTACACAAAAGTGAAACRGCAGGCTGGTACCAAGCAGCATGGAAAAGGACTGCGACAGGAAAGAGCAAATATATGGTGTCTGAAAAGCAAAAGCTGGGAAGATCCTAGTGAAGGAACCAATATTCCTTCCATTAGACACCCATGCAGACCCTGTTGTTTCCTAGTGAATGTCTTCCAATCACCCTTGCAGACTTGTGACACCCCTGAACCTGCAAGCTTGCTTTCCTGGGATACTACTTGATTTGCTAAGTTCTAGCTTGGGAACAACCAGTACACATGCAAAATCAATGCTTCAGGGGCCTCAGCTCTTCCTGCCGAGCTGCAAGCATACCCTGTATGCTACCAGAAGCCACACTACTTCATCACAGCCCCCTTTGCGAACTACACCTCAAGCAATCAGCTAAGCAGGACCAAAGAAGGCAACTGTGTTCAACTGTGGCCATTCGAGCACCTCCGGCATGCTCACATACTTGTTCTTCTGTATTAAACAATCCACATTTTGAAGTAATTTGTTAGTTAATTAAACTTTTGCAGGACATTTTACAACTAACATCAACCACTTGCTCATCAGCAGATATACATATCATTCAAACCTGTGACAAACACCACTCTTCCAACTTAAAAAATAAGCCCCTTATTTCTCAGTCACTAATTCCAGTCTCARCCTCAGTATGGTTTTTCTCAGCAATGTTTTGAAGAAAATTGGCTTATTTCTATTTTTTTTTCTAGCTTTCATTGCATATAGACCATACGTATCCTGATGAGAAACAGTCTAACCTGTTACCTTTGATTTYCAGAGAAATTCGCACATTTTGAGATCTAAGCAATAACAAAATTGTTATTTACAGAAGTTAAGAGCAGACAGAATCCAGCTTCTTCAGACAACGCTCGGATGTCTAAGAGACAAATAAAAATAATCTAATTGTGGACAAAATGTGATTAAAATCATACACTAGTAGTGTATGATCAGTGGTAACAGATAGCTAAGRCTGGGTAAATAAGTCTAACCCCATACTGACTGTAAGAACAGTTTATACTCAAGCCATAGTGGAAAATGGAGTGTAAATCATGTTATTCAGCTTTAGACTTTCTGACATGCTGAAGTCTCAAATTCCTTAATATCCAATGGGGAAGATGCTCAATGCTTTAACATATCACACTCATTAGCAACCAGGAATATAAGAAAAAAGAACTGTCCTTTAACACAGAACTTCAGCACCACAAGKCTTCATGGAAGACACAGTGAGTGATGAAGACAAGGAACAAACTGAACGGTCACCASTGAGCTATGCAGCCTACGTACTTGAAAATACCTTCCTTCTAGCAGAACTGTGTAACACATGGTACATGTAGATCATGGTCTGCAGAATCTAGGAACAGCAGCCGCTTGAATCTCACAGGACCTAGGAAACCAAATTAAGTTAATTATGGGCAAAATATATATATATGAATATGCATTCAGTATCCACAAATAAATAAATACTCAGTCACCTGAAGGGTTTCACTTTGGATTTGGATTATTATTCCAATTCTGTAGAGACCTATGCACATGCTTTTTTTWWAAAAAAATAAATGTTTAAACTGTGAATTCATCAGGAATGGTCTATTACATTAAACACATCAGGAGCTTTTCAGTATCTAAGATACATATGTCARAAATCTCTTCAGATTGCTCCACCTTGCCAAACAATACAATCAAATATACATTTCCCCATATACTGCACTTATCATTTTAAGAGGGAATCAATGGTCTATAATAGACCTTTTAGTCCCTGTGATGCAGAAAAAAACAGCAGAAGTATAGGTTGATGCCCAGAATACAGAAAGATACAAGAGAAGAATTGTAGATGRGTCTGGATGAGTAGCAAAAAAATACTTTGGGGAAAAGAGATGTCCTTTATAGAATTATTATAAAATACTATTTGAATCGTCCACGATGGCATTACCAAAAATTATCTTAATGCCATCAGGCACTCCCGAAACCCCTGGAAAATACTGTAAGCAAAAAGTGAGAATTTCATACCTATGATGGGAAATGTGCATTTGCCTATRTCTAAAGGGAAAACTAAACCTCTGATGTTGCTGGAGAACCAGGATTTTGCCCAGCATAGAGAGCAGTGCTCAGGATGATACTGGGATCGATGTTTCTTCTAACATATCACAGAATCAGAGAATGGCAGAATGACTGAGGTTGGAAGGGACCTCTGCAGATCGTCTAGTCCAAATCCCTGCTCAAGCAGGGTCACCTTGAGCACGCTGTGCAGACGGCTTCTGAATATCTCCAAAAGAGACTCCACAGCATCTCTAGACAACCTGCTCCACTGCTCAGTCACTCTCACAGTCAAAAGTTTTTATTTATGTTCAGATGGAACTTCCTGTGCTTCGGTTTGTGCCCATTGCCTCTTGKGCTGTTTCTCAGCACCAGTGAAAACTGCCTGGCCCCATGCTCTTGATATGCTCATTGAAGATATTAGTAGGCACTGGTAACACGCTTGCAGCCTTCTCTTTGCCTGGCTCAAACATTCCAGTTTTCACAGGCTGTCCTCACCAGACAGATACTGCAGGCCCCTGCTCATCTGCGGAGCCCTACACTGGACCCTCTCTGGAAGCTCCATGTCYGTCCTGTACTGGGGAGCCCAGAACTGCACCCAATACTCCAGGTGCAGCCTCATCGGAGCTGAGGAGATGGGCAGGATCCCCTCCCTCCACCTGCTGGCAACACTGCTTCTCATGCAGGCCAGGATCACACTGGTCTTGGCCACAAGGGCACTCTGCTGCCYCATAGTCAGTCTGTAGTTCAYCAGGATGCCCAGGTCCTTCTCTGCACAGCTGCTCTCCAGCAGACCAGCCCCCAGCCTGTCCTGGTGCCAGGGTTACTCCTCCCTTGTGGCAGGACCCTGAGCTAACTTCTGTTGAACTTCATGAGGTTCCTCTCTGCCCACATCTCCAGGCTGTCTGGGTGCTTCTGACAGGCAGCACGGCCCTCTGGTGCATTAGCCACTCCTGCCAGTTTCGCATCACCGCCAACCTGCTGAGGCAGCACTACTGTCCTCACCRCGAGCACGGCTGGTGGGGACCAGACCCACTGCTGCCCCTGGAGGACGCTGCTCACGATAGGTCTCGGAGCCAACTTGTGCCACTGAGGACAACCTCTTGATGCCCCAATTATCTACCYCCTTCATGTGTATCTTAAAACTCCCAAATCTATTGCTGGGCAGAGAAAGCAGCACAGTGGGGGAGAGGACAGGCCATTAAGTTTGCCCCTAGACCTCCTTCAGCCCAGGGCTTGGGAAGAGAGTGAAAAATAACAAAACAGGGCATAASAGCCACCTCAACAGCGCAAAACAAGCAGGGGGAACTAAAGCTCTGTGTGCAGTCTCAGACCTGTGTCAGTAGTAGGAAAAAGCTAAGTAAGGGAAACCTCGTCCTGAATGGAGAGGATGGATTTTTGACAGCAGAAACAAACAAGGCTGAGAAATAGYGTTGTCTCTGCTTCAGTTCTTATCAAAAATGCTGCTCGGCCTCTGTTTAGAGGTTAGAAGGGAGAATGACCAGTGGTGGATGAGGATGAAGTCAGGACTGCTAGGGAGAGCTGAAGCCACATGAACCCATGGGATCACAGGGCCTGCATCCAAAGCTGCTAAGGGAAGCGACTGCGCCTGATCCTCTTTGAAAGGTTGTCAGAATCAAAGGAGGTCACCAATGACTGGAGGGAGTCAGATACCACCCTCATMTTCAGAAAAAGCCAGAGAGGACGATCTGGGCAACTACAGGCAGATCAACCTCATTTTGCCCCTGTGGAAAATGATGTAATAAGTCCTCTTGGAGCATATTCCTCGGCACATAAAGATAGTGACTAAGAGAAGCAAACACGAACTAATCAGTGGTAACTCAAGCCTGGCCAACCTGCTTCCTGTGATAAAGTGGCAGTCTTTGTGCACAACTTCAGCAATGCTGTTGTCACCATCTGCCATGTCTAGGAGGAGACCTAGACGTGTTGGAGGAATGAACCGGCAGGACTCTTGTGAAACTCACAGGTTTTGGGGAAGTTCTGCACCTGGGAGGGACCAGCTTCCACACGGCTGCAGTCTGGGGACCTGCTGGCTGGGGAGCAAAGACCTGGGGAGACACCAGTTAGCTGAAAATGAGCAAGCAGTGTACCCTGGCAGCAGGGAAGGCAACAGCAACCTGGGCTGCACTAACAACATTAATAATCATGCAGAAAATGGTTGAGCTGCTTTTCTTGCCACTTTTTAGGCCACACTTAGAATAACACATCCAGTTTTGGGTCTCCCAGTATAAGGAAAATATTGATATACTCAAGGGAGTGGCCACCAGGATGGTCAGAAGCACCTGCCCTGGGAGAAGGGACTCTGACAACGGGGCTTGGTTAATCCAGAGAGCTTTGTGGGCAGGTTATCCAGAAGATGCAGCTGGGCTCTTTGCAGTGGTGCATGGCTGGATGAAATGATGAAATGGCAATGAAAGATGCTCCTACTCAATACGAGAAAACTTTTTTTTTCATGGTGTTGACGGTCAAGCATTGGAGCCAGCTGTCCAGAGGAGATGTGCAATCTCCATCCTTGGAGGTTTTCAAGACCCAATGGATAAAGCCCAGAGAGAGTAAATGAAGAAGAAAAAAGCAAATAAGCATGAGATTTATAATAGGACGCAAGAGCAATTACAGTCAACATACTGGGGAAATAGGTGGTTGGTTAAATAATTCCACAGGAAAAGAGGTGTCTCATTAGATAAGCAATATAAAAAATGACAACGGCCAAGAATGTCACATGCATTTTTGAATCCTAATGCAATGTTAAATCAATGGAAAGCTGTATTTCCTTTGTACAGCCTGTCCTTTAGCGTTAATTGGCTTGTAGGAATGAGGAAAACACTGCTGCATCTGAGACGGTCCATAAAAACTAACTAACTTTTGGAGGGATGGGCAGTAAATTCTATATGACTACAGATCTTGATTTTAAAAATTTACTAATTTGCTACCGCTTTTAGTATAATGCTATAAGAAAACATACTAAGCACATTCTTGAGAAAGAGAGAGAATATGAAATGGGGTATTTCATTTGCAAACTCAGTCCACACTGAGTTTGCATGATCCTCAGGGAAGCATGAGTGCATCTCTATCCTGTATTAAGCTATCCAGGTACCTGTTCTCTCTGACAAATGCTGARAAAAGATGTTTGCAGGATGGAAAAAGTAGCATTTGTCCATACAGAAATTTATCCTAGTAAGCAAGTGTTTGCTGCTTAACCAGCTCAAATCACTTATGCCATGCAAATTCCATATTCAGTTTTACCTAAAACACGAGAGATTAAAATTATTTGGCCATATCCCTGTTCAAGCAGCATATGCATTAGAGCTTGAGAAACATACAAGACATGAATAGTAACAGGAAGAAAAAACACACATTTCTCCAAATAAAAGGAGGACTTGAGAGTGGAAGAAGGTGTATTTTTGCTACAAACATTAACTATTAACTGTGTTTATGCTTACAAAGAAAAATAATTTGTGAATCCATCAGAAAGTAAAAGCGCAGCAGAGCGGTAAGCAGAGGGCAAGTGGCACACACACTTCTGAAACCTCTGTGACTTATTTCACTTCACTACCCTTCATGACCGTATGTACACTCACAGATTTAAAACGCAGATGAGGCCGTCATGCAACCTCAATAAGAACAACCAGTAACAGTAAAATAGCAGAATATAACAGTAGAAGCAGAACAGGAGGAAAAAAAAAAGAAGTGGTTATATGAGCAATCAGTTGCTGGTCATTTTTAAAGAGCAAAAGACTTCCAACAGACCCAGATTACTAGATGGAGACATGAAAACGTATACACAGAATGAGAAACACTGGTTGGAAGGAGCCTTTGAAGGTCATCCAGCCCAACCTCTCCCAGAGCAGGATTAACGCCAGCGTTGGACTACGCTTTCCCAAGCGAAGAGGCTGTGCTCAGCTTAACAGCGGGTGGGAGCAACAGCAGGACGTTGGATGCAACAACAGCCCTGGTTTGAGCTCAGTGCTCTCTGGAGGCATCTGACTTTCCGAGTCAAAGATAGCTGAGGAAAGAAGGAATAGACATGATGATCATTTTTGAAAGATAAAAAGGCAGATAGATATTTAGGTAAATAAAGTTCTATCCACAACAGATACTAGGAAGTGAACAACAAAAAATCCTTATCACATATATAGCACCCATACAAAGTGACGATAAAAAAGGTCAGACACGATAAAAAAGGTTCAGACACAACAGATACAGTATGATTTTTTTTCTGTGATTGAGCAAAGCTGTGTGAGTGGTCTTGAAAGGAACTCATGAACACAGTCAAAGAAAGTCACTTGGAAATATCATTCATAATGCTGCAAAACTTTGAAAAATGAGATATAAATCGTCAGCAAGAAGCCCAAAAGAACACGGTGCTTACTACAAGCATCAAATATTAAGTAATTGACAGCAGAAGGATTCAGCTTCCAAAATATTAGGTAGGGCATCAAAAGTCACTTTGTTTAGTACATAACACCCTCAAGGATTCAGTTTTTGAGACAGTGACAGAAATGTTTACTCCATCTAGCTTTTACTTACAGATATCAGTAACATGCATAATACACTTTCCTTACACAACATGTTAACTTTTGCGGGGTTTTGACAGATCAAGAGAAAGGAGATTAGCGGTAGCTGAGAACACAAACACTACACATTTGTCTATTTTGCACAGCATTTCTCCGGAACAAAAAAAGAAGGAAGAAAATTGTGCTGCTTTCATGCAGATAAAGTAAATATAAAGCAACTCTTAATGAACTACATCACACTATGAAAATTTTAGGTGTCTGGAAATAGCTGCTTGAAGCCTTAAAAACTGGCTTCTTCAGCATTAAACTAGAGCACATTATAAAAGAGATCCACTCCTTACGAAGTCCTATACAAAACACAACTTGGTTCTGAAAACATTTATAGCTGAGTCAATGTAACTCAAGCTCTATTTAAGTTACTGCCTTGATATTTTCAAATCATGGTAGAAATTACAGGACTAGCAAATTTAAACAGTCCCCAAGTCAAAAATGAGAAAGTTAAATGTCTAGAGTCCTTACAGATCTAGACAAGTCACCTCACAAATGCAAAAGAACACAGAAAAGGAGGAAAAACTACCATATAGCCAAATGAAGTAGTCAAGAGGCTGGCAGTGGTACAAAGTTACTTTTTCTAAACAATAAAAAACCTCATCAATGCAAGCAAAAAAGATTAATGTGTTGAAGTGCTAGCTGCAAGGGTAAGGTTGTGAACTGTCACAAACTCTTTGCATCTATTGATGGGTTTTCTTTTTCCTCTCCCATTGTTAGATAATCTTTTCTTCAAACTCACTTTACCAATCCCTACAAATTAAAGGTAGTTTCACGAGGATTACTACTTCTATTCCTAAAACCCCGGCTGTTTTCAGGACACGCTGGGACTCTGCGCAACAGGTGACGTTCAGGCTGGGACCCACCTCAGCCAGCCGGGCCATTTGCAAATTCAGAGCTTACTTTATCACTGATTAAGCTGCRTTACGAGGGCAATAAAGCTTCCGGCGACGGAGCTTTCTCCGCGGGGCGGACCCACAGCGCTCACCTTGCTACTGTGCGTCACAGGCCTGGAGAGCCCGGCGGGGAAAGAGCGCTCCCCGCCGCTAACCCCCGCAACCCCGGCCAACGGCCGCCGCCGCGACCAACGGCCACCAACGGTCACCGCGGCCAACGGCTCCCCCAGCGCGGCGGCCACCGCCCAGCGCGCATGCGCGGGGCGGCTCTCCCTGCAGCTCATTGGCTGCGGGGCGCGGCGCGTCACAGAGCGCGGGGCGGGCTCAGTCACTCACTCGCCGCCGCTGCCTCCCTCGGCGCCTCCTGCGCTTCCGGCGGTGGCCGCTTCCGTCTGCGCCGCCCGCGGCGCCCCTCGGGGGAGTAGGCGAGGGGGCGGGGCCTGCGCCAGGGGGCGGGGCCTCGCCGGGGGGCGGGGGAGGAAGTGGCGCCCTGGCCCTTAAAGGGGCCGCGCCCGGGCGGGGGAGCCCCTAGCTAGAAATTGATGCTTGAAATAAAACAGGAATGCGCRTGAGGAACGGGCTGCACGATCCGCTCTGACGTTCCCACACCTACAGCTTGAAACAGCCACTTCAATTAAAAAAAAAAAATCCCAGTTGAAAAGTTGCAGTTGGTTTAGGCTGCTTTTAGAACACGAGAACCCTGGAGAAGTCAGTTTAACAAGAGTTAGGTRCTGTTTATTGCAGGAAATAAACCAGCGCTGAGCAGAGCGGGATGGAAAAGGCGCCCTTCCGCATGCCTGGGTTCAGGAGGCTGAGCCTGGACACTCAGCAGCAACCAACATCGCTGTGCGGAGACTCCAACCCTTCCCTGCTCCCATCAGTCCCAGTGTGGAGACTCCAACCCTTCCCTGCTCCCATCAGTCACTGTGGTCCCCCCAACCCTTCCCTGCTCCCATCAGTCCCCGTGCGGAGACTCCAACCCTTCCCTGCTCCCATCAGTCCCCGTGTGGAGACTCCAACCCTTCCCTGCTCCCATCARTCCCCGTSTGGAGACTCCAACCCTTCCCTGCTCCCATCAGTCSCYGTGYRGAGACTCCAGCCCTTCCCTGCTCCCACCCCTCGCTGTGTTCCCCCCAGCCCTTCCCTGCTCCCACCATCTCGGTGGCTGCCGCCTAGGCCGCCCTGGAGCCGCCCAGCGCCAGGAAGGCAGCGCCAGGGCCCGAGGGCCGCGCGCGGGCGGTGACGGGTTGGGGTCACACTGGTCTTCTGCTTGGGGYACCCCGTGAGTTTGGTGCAGACCCATCCCTGCGTCGCACAGGCGACCTCCCACGTCCCGGAGACGTCTCCTTCGGCAGATGTTAACCAGGCTTCAGCCTGGCTGCTGCGGCCAAAGGAGGGTGAAGAGCTCATGGCCCACGTGGGGGGAAAGTGGCTTCCACGGAGAAGGGCCAATATTTTAAACAGTTTAAAGGGYAGCGAAAGCCTTTACTTCTTACTGTTCATATATACACACTCCACCCCTGCCCTCCCTAAATTTAAACTCCAAGTATGAAATTAAATAATGGAGATACCAGGCGCTTGACACAGATGTCTCCTAAACATGAAAAAAAAAACAAAGAAACAAACAAACAAAAACCCCATAGTTATGATTATTCAGGGAGTTTTTGGTAAAAAGTGACCTTTACTCAGAGCAGTCACTGTGAACACAGTTCTGACTCCATTCTGTGCATTGACTCATGCTGCATTTCTCTCTTTAGAGCAAACAGGTTTTWWWAAWAAAWAAATAAAWAAATAGTATCCCTGTTTTTACAGAATCACACAGTTCAGTAAAGATGAAATTTTAGTCTTCCATAATTAGCAATGGTGAGAAATCCCCCACAGGGGAAAGATGGACTAGATGGGCAGCAGTGGTTACCATGAACCCACTCTGTCTCTTTGGGGTTGTGTTCCRCATCACTCCAGCAATCAATTATGAGGTATGAAAAGAACAAGCAAAACATGAATTTATTAACATTTTAATAAAACTCACTGTATTATCTGCATGCTCAAAATATTTGTGAAAATAAAGTAAAAAAATATTTAGTGTTCTTGAAAGTCTTACGGATTTTTTTATTAAAAAAAGCAGTTGTCTTTGTTGTTTCTTTTGAATCCAAACATGCCTCAACATTATGCTCAGCCGTAAGTGTATCCTTCTTATCATTGTACAAATAATTACACTGAATTTCTATAGCGCTAAAAAAAAAAAAGACATAAAACAGTCCCCCCTCCCTCAAGTTATATGATAGGTAGCCAGATAACTCATCAAGAAGAGATCATGTTGTACGTATTGAAGAGTAAACAGCATTTTCAGTGCCAAGAAAGTGTCCAATTTTTTGGCATCTCTCTTCCACCTAAACTTCGAGTAGGAGGACAGATTGATTTCCACAGAAGAATTCCTTTGATTTACAATAAAGCTAGAGAGAATTAATACCCCATACATACCATCAATTTACTGGATTTCTGAAAAGCTAACATGACAGGCAACAGGGACAACTATACATACAAACTCCATGATTAAGAATAATAATTTAAAATGTCATACTGCAAATATACAAAGATGACCTGATTTCATTTAAAACATTTACCTCCTGCTACAAACTAGCTCATCTAACAAGTTCCCCACTCTTTAATACTTCATGACTGATGTAGCTAAGTGTTCCCTAACATCCGATACATACTGGGCTGGATATAGAAAGGCTTCAAAACCAGCAACCCACATGGAAGGGTGCGAAGGGTGCATCTCTTTCAGCAGGTTTGAAATTCATCAGTGGGTACTGACTCAGCCGTGATGTTTTTCAGATGCTGACTGGTCGTGCTGGTGCAGCATTCTGCTCCATCAGTAGGGACATCCTTGGAGAGGGTGTTTATAAACCCTAACCCGACACTCTGAAACTTCTTTCTGACATTTTTGTTCCAGAAACCAGAAGAAAAAAAGTTGCCTCAACTCTGCATGAACTCGTTAGCCCTGCTGAGTTACAGGGTTTAATAGCATGAGTGAAGCRCAGAGCTAACACAAACGCATATTTCTGGTACCTCAGAGTTAGCGTGGCAACATACAGTGCCATTCAGTGGTACAGATTCATTTAAAGCCAAACCTGTGGGCAGCCCCACGTTCCTGCAGCCTTGCTGGGCAGAGTTAGTCACTCTGGGCACAGTGTCACATGAAAGCAGTTGTACAACTTTTTCTACCAGAAAAAAAAAAGCTCCTAGCTTTTCACCTAGCTCCATCAGAGATGGGACGTTTGGGTGGCTGTGCAGGGCTGCACTGTGCTTTGTAGAGACGTTTGGTTCTTGACACAACGCTCGTTCCCCCAAATCACAGTGCTGTAGGTTCAAAACACAGTGCAGGTGCAGACTGCCTACATGGGGGTCAGGTAAGAACATTCCACAGTCTCCTATACAATAATCACTGGACAACTCAAAAAAGTTGCAATTACTGCACTGACCAAATTCTTCCTATGGGGAAAACAAACAAACATAGGTGTACGAAAAGAGAGGTAAAGTTCCCCAGTTTTTCCATTCCATAACAGTCTTTCAATCTTCAAGAATAAAACACAAAAGTAAAACAAAACAAGAAAAAGTGAATTTCCTGAATCAGGAATGTAAATATTAGCACAAGACACTCAACTCTGAACAGCCAGAGTTTAAACCTGTATCAAAGCACATTTGGAAAACTGTATAAATGGATAACATCTCTGCATCCTCCCACATCACAGTGCGGTCAGTTTGTACATTAACAGATATGCCTCTAACTGCCACTTCAGGCAATCACTGCAAAGGGGAGGCAGAGTTCCTTCCCAAGCGTGCATCAGCAGCCAAGGCCAGGTTCTCTTCCCAGTTATTTCTTCACAGATTTTTTTCTATTTACCAACAGGGGACAGGCTGCAAAGCTCTCGGCCAGAAAGCTCTGCAAGGCCTTAGAACTCAGGAATGAACTCCTGGAGACAGAAAACTCCTTAGACCACCAGCCTGTCAGAAGAGCTAAAGCAATTCAGACTTGTTGCCAAAGGTCTCCTCTCAGGCTGCCTGTCAGAGCAGAAAACAGGCAACTTCTCTATCACATCACCCTTGTTTCCTTTCCTTTTGCTGCTTCCTCTTGCYAATCTCTCAATCATCCATACACAGGACAAGGGGCCTTTTATGGCCAGTCATGTCCYTCACTGACACCCGGACAAACCCTACACACCAAAAGGTGGAGCCAGAAGCAAGAGCAAGGGCATAATCAAAGCTGCGAGTGCAATGTGGTGAGCTAGAGAATCTGTCCTGCCAGAATATCACAGGCTCTGCAGCACTGGCAGCAGAAAGCAGTGATAAAGCAAAACTCAAGTGGGCAGACRCTCTTCATACCTGAAGAGATCAGCTTTCAAGTAGGAAAGGGTATTTTTCCCCTCTCTCTTTCAGAATCCCTTTCAAAAGTAAAACTGCTTTTTCATCTTCTTCCTGTTACTAAAAAAAGATAAAAAAACAGGAGAAGATTACAAGTTACAAATGAAAGCAAATATTGCTACTTATTCACAACTGTGATATCCAATTACTTTCCTGTAACTATACAAATGTTTTAAGGGACTTTAAAAGCAGTTTGAAGGGAAAAAGGAAAAAGGAAAAAGGAAAAAGGAAAAAGGAAAAAGGAAAAAGGAAAAAGGAAAAAGGAAAAAGGAAAAAGGAAAAAGGAAAAAGGAAAAAGGAAAAAGGAAAAAGGAAAAAGGAAAAAGGAAAAAGGAAAAAGGATCTCCAAACTCCAGCTGAAACGACAGCATCTGCAAGAGCATTCAAGTGTGCATTGCTGGTATAACTTTTAAGAAATATTGATTGAATCCCTTACACGGTCAAAAGTAGCCATGTTACATAAATAGGAAACAGCATGCACTGACAACCTGAAAATAAACATCAGGCTTCGCCCTTCTTTTGCAATTGCTCCAGTTTTCTTCTTAGCAGGCTGTAGTTTTCCTTGGTCCCYGGTGCCATGGGATCGAGCTTCAGGGAGACTTCATAGTGCTTCTTTGCTAAATCGAGGTTCCCCCAGCGGTGATAAAGCACAGCTGGAAC